GGGAAGTCTGAATGTGCGTGGATTTGTGCAAAATGATAAGAAAGAGATGATTGTGGATGTTATGAATGAGAAACAAGCTGGATGTCCTGGCTTTAAGTGAAACAAAGCTAAAGGGGGTTTGGGAGGTTTCAGTGGAGAGGAATAAATGGGATTAGGTCAGGGGTTTTCAAATAGAGTTAGAGCTAAAGAAGGATTTAGCAAAAATTTGTTGAAGGATAAGTTATGGCTGGAAAAGAGGGACTATAAATGTATTAATTAAAGGATTATGTGGAGTAAAATAAAGGTTGGGTGTTAAAAGTGGGTTATAGTAAGCGTATATGCACCTGGAGAAGAGAGAAGTGTAGAGGAGAGAGAGAAATTTTGGGAAATGTTGAGTGAATGCGTGGGGAGTTTTGAACTAAGTGTGAGAGTAATGGTGGTTGGAGATTTCAATGCTAAAGTGGTCAAAAATGTTGTGGAGGAAGCAGTAGGTGAATTTGGGGTGCCAGGTGTAAATGAAAATGCGGAGCCTTTAATTTAGCTATGTGTAGAAAAAGGTTTGATAATAAGTAATACATATTTTATGAAGAAGAGGATAAATAATCATACAAGGTATGATATAATAGCACGTAATGAAAGTAGTTTGTTAGATTATGTATTGGTGGATAAAAGGTTGATGGGTAGGCTCCAGGATGTACACGTTCATAGAGGGGCAATTAATATATCGGATCATTATTTAGTTGTAACTACAGTTAGAGTAAGAGGTAGAAGGGAAATGAGGAAAATGGCAATAACAAGCAAGAGAGAGGTGAAAGTGTATAAATTAAGGTAGGAGGAAGTTCTGGTGAGATATAAGCAACTATTGGCAGAAAGGTGGGCTGGTGTAAGTATGAATAGTGGGGGGGTTGAAGAGGGTTGGAATAGTTTTAAAAATGCAGTATGAGAATGTGGGGCAGAAGTTTGTGGTTATAGGAGGGTGGGTGCAGGAGGAAAGAGGAGTGATTGGTGGAATGATGAAGCAAAGGGTGTGTAATACAAAGCAGAAGCGTTATAAGAAAAGTAGAGTATATGGAGAGTAAAAGAAAGGTAAAGAGAGTGGTGAGAGAGTGCAAAATGATAGAGTGGGAGAGGCACTGTCAAGAAATTTTAATGAAAATTAGAAAATAATTTGGAGTGAGTTAAACAAGTTAAGAAAACCTAGAGAACGAATGGATTTGTCAGTTAAAAATAGAGTAGGGGAGTTAGTAGATGGGGAGATGGAGGTTTTGGGTAGATGGCGAGAATATTTTGAGGAACTTTTAAATGTCGACGAAGAAAGGGAAGCGGTAATTTCATGCACTGGCCATGGAGGTATACCATCTTTTAGGAGTGAAGAAGAACAGGATGCGAGTGTGGGGGAGGTGCGTGAGGCATTATGTACAATGAATGGGGGTAAAGCAGCTGGAACTGACGGGATCATGACAGAAATGTTAAAAGCAGGGGGGGATATAGTGTTGGAGTGGTTGCTATTTTTGTTTAATAAATGTATGAAAGAGGGGAAGGTACCTAGGGATTAGCGCAGAGCATGTATAGTCCCTTTATATAAAGGGAAAGGGGACAAAAGAGATTGTAAAAATTATAGAGGAATAAGTTTACTGAGTATACCAGGAAAAGTGTACGGTAGGGTTATAATTGAAAGAATTAGAGGTAAGACAGAATGTAGGATTGCGGATGAGCAAGGAGGTTTCAGAGTGGGTAGGGGATGTGTAGATCAAGTGTTTACATTAAAGCATATATGTGAACAGTATTTAGATAAAGGTAGGGAAGTTTTTATTGCATTTATGGATTTAGAAAAGGCATATGATATAGTGGATAGGGGAACAATGTGGCAGATGTTACAAGTATTTGGAATAGGTGGTAAGTTACTAAATGCTGTAAAGAGTTTTTATGAAGATAGTGAGGCTCAGGTTAGGGTGTGTAGAGAGAGCGAGACTACTTCCCGGTAAAAAGTAAGGTCTTAGACAGGGATGTGTAATGTAACCATGGCTGTTTAATATATTTATAGATGGGGTTGTAAAAATAGTAAATGCTAGGGTATTCGGGAGAGGGGTTGGATTAAATTATGGGGAATCAAATTCAAAATGGGAATTGACAAAGTTACTTTTTGCTGATGATACTGTGTTTATGGAAGATTCTAAAGAAAAATTGCAGAGGTTAGTGGATGAGTTTGGGAGTGTGTGTAAAGGTAGAAAGTTGAAAGTGAACATAGAAAAAAGTAAGGTGATGAGGGTATCAAATGATTTAGATAAAAAAAAATTGGAAATCAAATTGGGGAAGAGGAGTATGGAAGAAGTTAATGTTTTCAGATACTTGGGAATTGACGTGTCGGCGGATGGATTTATGAAGGATGAGGTTAATCATAGAACTGATGAGGTAAAAATGGTTAGTGGTGCGTTGAGGTATATGTGGAGACAAAAAACGTTATCTATGGAGGCAAAGAAGGGAATGTATGAAAGTATAGTAGTACCGACACTCTTATATGGGTGTGAAGCTTGGGTTGTGAATGCAACAGAGAGGAGGCAGTTGGAGGCAGTGGAGATGTCCTGTCTAAGGGCAATGTGTGGTGTAAATATTATGCAGAAAATTCGGAGTGTGGAAATTAGGAGAAGGTGTGGAGTTAATAAAATTATTAGTCAGAGGGCTGAAGAGGGGTTGTTGAGGTGGTTTGGTCATTTAGAGAGAATGGATCAAAGTAGAATGACATGGAGAGCATTTAAATCTGTAGGGGAAGGAAAGCGGGGTAGGGGTCGTCCTTGAAAAGGTTGGAAGGAAGGAGTAAGGGAGGTTTTGTGGGCGAGGGGCTTGGACTTCAGCAGGCGTGCATGAGCGTGTTCGATAGGAGTGAATGGAGACGAATGATTTTTGGGACCTGACGATGTGTTGGAGTGTGAGCAGGGTAATATTTAGTGAAGGGATTCAGGGAAACTGGTTATTTTTATGTAGCCGGACTTGAGTCCTGGAAAAGGGAAGCACAATGCCTGCACTCAAAAGGAGGAGCTTCGGGATATTAGCAGTTTGGAGGGATATGTTGTGTATCTTTATACGTATATGCTTCTAAACTGTTGTGTTCTGAGCACCTCTGCAAAAACAGTGATTATGTGTGAGGTGAAAGTGTTGAATGATGAAAGTATTTTCTTTTTGGGGATTTTCTTTCTTTTTGGGTCACCCTGCCTCTGTGGGAGACGGCCGAATTGTTAAGTATATATATATATTATATATATATATATATATATATATATATATATATATATATATATATATATATATATATATATATTAGTCCTGAGTAATATATAATATATATTATTTAGTAATATAGTTGTGTCTAGGAATGTTTTAGAGGTAATGTTTTATATCGAATACATTTAATAGTGGCATAGGTATGCATTTTATGCATTTTTGTTGTTTATCCATTAATATATACGAGCATCTTTATATGTTTGACCTCTACCTCTCTCTCTCTCTCTCTCTCGCAAGATGAATGAATCCCTTTCTCGGTAATTTCCTTGCCCAAGTGGACCCGGAAATTGGTAGTTGGTGAACGGTGGTGGGCTAGAGCGGTTAATCGTCAGTCTTGGCTAAGCATGAGCCAAGTTTGCCCCCCATCTTCCCCCTTCCTTTCTCCTTCCCCAGACCCAGTGCTGGGGTGATCCTGGGCTCCTTAGTGACTGTGGAAGGAGGAAGGGGAGGAAAGTGTTAGGTTTAGAAAGAGGTAAATATTTTTTGCTCATAATCCAGTAAATATTTCATATTTAGTATATATGTAAAAAAGTATTTAAGTAAGGTGTATATCTTACATTTTTGAGGTGTTCTCATGCCTAGAGAATCCCATCGCCACACATACAAATAAATAGCTCTGAAATTATCCACCAGGGGGCTACACTGCCTAGTTACGTCACGAACCTTCGTTTTGGAATTGACACAAATGTAGAAAGTTTCGAATTAAAGCAAAGAGGCTTTCTAAAATTATCGCACTGAAACACAAGCTACGAAAAACTCAGCCAAAAAATTTTTAGATTTATGCCTACTCGAGGATATTTAATTCACTTCAGAATTGATCAATTCTGATATAATACAAAACTGTGATGGTGGTGAAATGTACTTTTTTTTTATCATATTAAAAGTTAAATATTCAATATATTTGTTAATAAATATGTATCTTTGATTGGGAAATTTTATTCTCCTGAGATCTAAGTATACTGGTAGTGTTTTACTAAGAGTGAAAAAAATGAAATATCGAAGAAAACTATATATGTTATTCATAAGTACAATGAAAATTATACTTTTGGTTTAGCGCTCCCCATGATTATAGGGGATAATTATATTCATCTAGCCATTTTGTTACAATACTTGAGAATTGTTCTTTAAAACGATATATATATATATATATATATATAAAATATAGTATTAAAAATTATATATAGTATATATAAATATATATATATATATATTATATATAATAATATTAATTTATATATTTTAAATATTTTATATATATATATAAATATATATATTATAAATATACTAATTATATATAATATTAGTTATATATTTTATTATTATTTTATTTTAATATAATATATATAGTAATGAATTATAATATATATAATTATAATATATAAAATTATATTTTAAAAGATTATTATAATAAATATATTATATAAATATATATATATATAAATATATATTATTATAAATATATTATATATATAAATAAATTATATATATTAAAATATTTTAATATAAAATATACATATATATATATAATATATATTAATATAATATATATATATATAATATATATATATAATATAATATAATATATAAATTTTAAAAACTACAATTTCATCAATCTATATTATAATGTTTAACTAAATTTATAAAAAACTCACATACTTAAAAATCACAAAGTCTCCCACATTTTTTTTTACCCCCTTTTTTTAATCAAAGTCTCTCACAAACACTCACACACTCTCACACAGTCCAGCCGGTCAACGTGAGCATCCTGAGTGGAAGCGGAAGTCTGAGTGCTGGGACGGAGTACGAGCTGGTGTGTCAGGCCTGGGGCTCCCGACCAGCTGCCATCATCAGCTGGTGGAAAGGTGGCACCACTGCGCTCAAGGACGCAGCTATGACGGTACGTTACATCAGTGACTCCCCCAACTCTATCAAGTATATTTCTGGTCTATCAAATACAGTTGTGGTCTACCTAGCACAGTTGTGGTATAATTGGCATATTTGTGATCTAGCTGGGATGTTTGTGAAGTCTGGCAGCTCAGTACACAGTAGAGTTTGCTCTAACTGTTACTTTCATTTTATTGTGAAAGTAAATGTAGAAGCTGAAGGTCTTTCCCTTTCTCACCAGTGCATGGTGAAGAGCTTTGCAATGAGGGAATAGATAAGTGAAATGGAAATATCTCAGAGGTAGTAGGATCAGGGGCGCACATATTGTGAAAGTCTTATTTCAAAGCATTGTTTTATTGTTTTGAATCATATTTAATGCATAATACTTAGCCTTACATGGTTGGTTTACACAGCGCCTAGTGAGTCGGAAGCAATCAAATTTGATCTTGGGAATGGCAGGGTAACTTCGGTTGCTCAGATCAAGGGACATTTGCCAGCATCAAGGCACCCCTACTTTAATGCTATTTTTTTTTTTAAGGAAGACTAAAAATTCTCTATAAAATAAATTTTCTGTATAACACAAAGGAATATTTAAAACATTTTCTTACAAGGTAAGAAATAATCTCTCATGAAATAATGAGTTCCTAACTATAGAGGAAGAAGGTAATGGAATCAATTAATCTCTTTCATGCAATTTTCTTTTTTTTTTTCAACTGCAAATGAGTTTTTGATGTTAAGGTTCCACTTCGCGTTGGAAATATTATTTTACACTGTAATAAGTCGCTGCCATTGCTAGAGTCTCTAGTATTAGTATTTTTTTTTCTTATTTTTATTATATATTTCTTTCTCTAGAAAGAATGAGAGATAATTCTATTTCGTATTATCATTACTTGAGATAGGATTTATCTGTGGATTCTGGCTTCAACTTTTTTGAATAATTAGTGTTTTCTAGTTAATATATTTATTTTCATTTCTCAGTCTAACTTTTCTTTACTACATTTCTGTCTCTCTCTTTCTCTCTCCTTTTCTCTAACCTAACTTTAAGTTGATCTTTACCCTGCAGACGTCACCAGACAGCAACGTGACCACGTCAATCCTGAAGTATCGTGCGGAGATGGCAGACAGCGGCAAGTACCTGACGTGTCGAGCCCAGAACCAACTCATCCCTCAGTCAGCCAGGGAAGACGGCCTTAAACTAAACATCTACTGTGAGTGTTCAATGTTATTATCTTGATCTTTTAAGATTTGGCATCTTGCTGAGTGCACCTTTCTATGTGTGAGTGTGTGTGTGTGTGTGTGTGTGTGTGTGTGTGTGTGTGTGTGTGTGTGTGTGTGTGTGTGTGTGTGTGTGTGTGTGTGTGTGTGTACTTTATATGCATTTTATATGTACTTCATCACTACTCCACCTGTTATTGTGTAAGTGAGAACATCGTTCCTAGAAACTTCTAGACCATAAAAAACTAGAAAGATATTGAGATAATACCATTCACAAAACAACTAGAACAAGACACAGGAACTACATCATATTAGATAACCCTCAAATTTTTTTTAAATAAATGGAAAAGAGAGAAGAATATAAGATACTCTAGTATCTTGCATATCTATTAACAAACTTGATTTGTAGCAGTTAGGAATAATGTTCCATAACACGGATTTAAGCTCACTTTTGACATCTCAAACTTATTCAATTATTCAAAGAACATATAACGTCTTCGTAAGGTCAGATAACTACGGTCAAAAAAATAGCGAAATTAGTAGACATAATAGAATAAAATTACCTAGAGGAATATACTGTAATTATCAATTTGTACAATTAATAAAAGTGTGTAAATGCAATATAACAGTTCCGTAATATTAATGTTAAAAATTCTCGATAGAAGGCAAAGAAATGGAAGTCAATAAACTAGAAAAAATCGCGAAATGAATAAGTGAGGGAGACACGAAACGAAAATGAAAATATTGAAAAAAGACATGAAATATATATGTAAATTTATAAAGGACATAAGAAATGTGATTCTGTAATCAGTGTTTAGGAAAATAATGGAAGTCTCTTTAGGGACGAAAATGGTAGAATTTTATTTTCTCACAATAATGAAATAACGAATATACAGCATGGATATCATAATATACTTTTCTGCATTATAAATTCATTATAAAAATCATAAATTTCATATACGTAAAAAAATAACAAATATCAGTACATTTCCAGTGTATGTAGATTTTTCCAAGTGTTTAATAATTCCGTGTGCAGTATAGTGCCTTTTTGTGCTCTCATATATTTGTAATATATTTTTACTCCCTCCCCCCCTCTCTCTCTCTCTCTCTCTCTCTCTCTCTCTCTCTCTCTCTCTCTCTCTCTTCTCTCTCTACCTCTCTCTCATCTCTCTCTCTCTCTCTCGATCGCTTCTGCAACACACACAGACAGACAGACGCACACACACACACACACACACACACACACACACACACACACACACACACAGCGTTTTCGTACACAGGCATACGTACATGAATAGCCTCACACAAGGTTAAATAAAGCAGCAATAAGGGTGACACTAGTGTAGGCACTCAGTGTGGTGACCGCACTAACGAGTGCACACGGATGGTGGCTTCCTATGTTCTTAATTGTCGTTCATTTTCTCATTTACGGGTTATGGAATTTTTGAATGTTTAAAAAATAGAGAAATTAAAAAGCGGCTTTGTTGATTTTCTAATCGTGAAGTCATAATTCTTGAGTTCCAATAATTTTCCAGAGATGAAATCATAATTCACGAGTTCCAGTAATTTCCTGAATTATGTACAGTTCATGAATAAATTTAGAATAAATGAAAAATTATTTGAAAAACATCTTAAAAACATACATATATTTTTTATTCCTGGGTGAATATATGTTCATTAAAAAAACGCTTCATAACAAGTATATTACTAAAATTTAATGATATATTCTATATTTTTTAATCAGCTGTTGTATATGCAAATTGTACACAGTGTAAAAGGTGTTTTCACATAAAAATAACAAATATCACAATTTGTGGGATAAAAAAAATATAATATAGTTCACGTATCTCTCTCAAAATATTTTTTATTTAATTTTTGCTCGATAGTTTAGCTTCAATTTGCCATACAGATGTTGTCTCTCCCACCGACTGTGATTATGTGACATAATCAATTTAACACAAGTGATGCTTCAGTATTTATATCCTTAACGTTGTTTACAATATTCGTGATATCTGAAATTATGACATTCGCGAGAAATAATTGAAAATCAAAACAAAATACCTAAATTAGAGTAATTTGACCTCCGTCTGAATCTACAATATGCATTTCCAGTGATAGAGACATAACTTCATTACGCAGCTTTAATGTTAAAAATCAGCCCGACCAATTCCGCACATATGTACCACGAAATTTTTAATTAATTTAGCCACATAAGTCCTATCAGTGTACATACAATGAGAGAGTCATTTCTTTCGGGATATATACACCCACAGATATACTTCTGTCATCGAAAATACACCGACCTATGCAGATCTTTCGAATTATATACTTTGAGAAATACGCATCTCTCGGAGAAGAGTATTTCTCCATTGAGATTCATTTCATATTCGCTGAAGCATATACATATTTCAGTATGTATATAAACACCAAATATATATATATATATATATATATAATATATATATATATATATATATATATATATATATATATATATATATATATATATATAAACCCACTTAAGCAGAGGTATATATTCGGAGAGGTGTATATATCTCATTTTATATACACTTAGAGATTAATTTCAGTGAGGATTTAAAGTCCTTGACTAGCTGTATAGAGGTGACATAGTCATATTACCCCTCGTATAGTCGATGAACCTTAATTAAAGACATAAACCCATGAACAAGAGTCTCGGTATATACACACTATATACCCAGTGATGAACATCCTGGTTGTACATGCATTTTTTTTTCTTTTGCTGACACCCTCACGTCTTGCTTTTTAATTTTTGAAAGTATCGACTTGGTAATTGTCAACAGAGCGGCATAACACCTGTACATCACCTCTCAAAGATAGTCCGTTCATAGAGAAAAATCTATACACATAGATTTATTATTTTTATTAACACATCGGTCGTTTCCCACCGAGGCAGTGTGACCAGAAAAAGAAGAAACCCTTTCATCATCACTCTCTCGATCACTGTCTTTCAAGAGGCGTGATGATATTACAGTTCATATTTAGACTTTTGTCAACTCAATTGGTTTATGAAGTTTAATCCATTGTGTTAAATATAGAATAAAGTCTAATTTTATAAATACTTAAAAACAAACCCCTCTAAGTGAATATACACCGTTCTTCTCAAGGTATATACACCAAAACTAATAAATTGATTCACTGGGCTTGAAGTTTATCGACTACATGAAGAGTTATTAAGATAGAATCAACTTGTTCACCACAAGCCAAGTATATTTTATTCCCTAAAACAAAGATTTAAAGTAAATTCTCAGCATATATACAGTGAGAGATATTCACTTGCAGTGCATAACACACTGTCCAGAGATCTGATATACTCCTCAGCATATATACAAATTGCACCTGAACTATGACTAAACTATTACGAAGATTATTTAGTGTTCCCAGAACTCAAATCATCCATTGAAATACGACACGACATCTGGTGGTAAAACGTATAATTTAGTCACATTCAGCAAAAATGTCTTTAATTTTCTGTAATATCAGTCATTTTTTTTATAATCCACATATTATACTTAACGATAAATATAGAAAAATCTGTTTGCAGTAAATAACAGTTCCTCCACTTTCACAGTGTAAATTTGCGGAGTTTTCTTTAATTACAGGTAAAGGAAACGTCACACACATTCCCACTTCCAATCTAAAGTTGACAGAAAGGTTTTATGCTTTTGCCAAGTTTTGTCTCAGACTTAATTGGAGTTGGAACCCGAGTTTGTTACGGCATATGATCAAGTTTGTTGGGAACTTTGTGGTCGTGTTGTAAAGAACATTTTCGTAGGGTTTACGAAAACTTACGAGATTTTTTATTATTGTTTTTAAGCACTAGTTTGCCTAACCAGATTTATATACATTTCACAAGAATTTGCATAGATCAGGTTCATGTATAATTATTTCGTTTCGAATTACTTCCAAGAATTTGGTTAACAAATAACATCAACATTACACAACGAAGTAAATGTTTAATTGGAAATAGTGATGACAAACGCTGGAGGTGTTATGAATCTCCAACCATCTCCCCCTTTCCTCTGCCCACTCCTAACCCTCAGCCTCCCCTTAATATCTCTAGTCTCGGCGATGGCGGTCCAAAGTCGTGAGAGGGTTTCAGCGCCCTTCCAAGTTGGGTAATATTGCAGCATTCAGTTTCAGAAGTGTTCAGTTCTGTGTTCCCGTTGTGCCGGTGCTAAGCCAGAGTGGAGAAGTACAAGGGGTGGCTGTTGTCAAGTCTGCAAGCTGCAACTCCCTCTAGCCATCTAGTCCATCTAGTGAGCCTCTTAATATAGGGATGGTGTGGAAAGCGACAGTCAGAAGATGTGAAGGCATGGGTTAATCCCAGTGAAGGGCTTTAAGAGAAAGGACAATATACAGTTGGATGAGTACTACGAAAAGGAAAGAATTTATTTTACCTCCATTTGAGCATACATGCTCATTTTACCCCTAACATATTCTCTCGCGTTTTCCTTACTACTAGTTTGAGATCTAAACTCGCTCTTTGTCACCCCTCATTATTATATTATTAGTATATTTCCTTTTCATGTATCTTACTCCACCAATCCCTTTCTTACTAATGCATCCACCCATAATTTCATTTTCAATAATTTTGGTTTTGAACACGCTGCACTATCTACTGTACGTCATCTCCTACTCAACAATGCTTCACCTATAGTCATTACACTTGCATCACCTTCCTCTCAGGCTCCACTACCCTCTTTCTCTACAGCTTCAACATACCGTCCATCTCCCTCCACCCTTTCCCTCCTACTCCTCCTCCCCATCCTCTGCTCATGCATCATCCCGATGGGACTTGTTCTCTCTACGCTGCGCTCTTTCAAAGGATGATATTTTCCGTAAAACTTTTCCTGAGTAACTCATCTTTACGGCGTGAGGCCAACGTGCCGCGCTCTCAGGTCTTTCTCATTGATTTCCCAAGACACCTTGTTGACAGTGTCGAATATATCCCTCGCACTTGACGTCGGGCAAGCCAACTTACCCCTTTTTCTGTGTCGATTTGCATATATGATGTCGTCCTTGATAAATGTCTAGCGCGGGGCCGTTTTCCTCGGATTTTACAACAGAAAGCATTTATTGTATATAATTGCAATTAAAATGTTAATTTTGTTAATCTTCTACAACTTATTATCACGTATCAGACGTAAAGTAAGTCTTTCTTTTATTCTGAAATTTAAACGTATATGTTGTAAATTGTAGGAATATAAGGAAGTATGAACAAAAGTTACTTGATATTCAAGTTTGTTAGTGGATTTGTGAAAACTTCAGTCTTGAGCTTTTCACAATCTGGCTCACCGAAAAAGACTTTAGGGTACAAGTCAGTGATGTATTGGTTAGCATGCTTACCCCGGAGCGGCAGTTCCATTCCTCATAATACAACTCTTAATTTAAACACCCAGTAAACATTTCGCCAGATATCCTATCTTAGACAAGGTCTCATGTCTGAGCTGCGTGGCTCACAACCTGACTTGTCAGGAAGGTCCTGGAGGAATCTATTAAATTTTCTCTTGAAGAGAGTTAGAAATCTTTTGACAATTTCCTTGGTATTTGAACGAAGGCCAATTCAAAAGCTTAGAATTACTTATGCTTTATGAGTTTATTTAGTAAACTTGTGCTTTTTCAAAACATTGCTATAGTGGTTCAGCAGCTGCTAGAAGCTAGTGCGTATATGTATATACATATATACACCTTACACAAGGGCTGTTACTGTTACTGTATTCACAGAAAGCTTTTACTCCGGAAGAATCATTCATTACTGGCAAAGGGCGGTGAAGCCACCAGACATGATGTACCTGTTAAAGCTCTTTACAAAAAGCAGTGAAATAGCTTTAAAAGCGCATGATGCAGAACAACCCTGAACAAAGCACTTTGAGGACAAAGTACACACAGACTTTAGTAACAACGTTGCTTAAATCTCTTAGGCACCAAACGACACCAAAGCCTGTAATTCAGCTATGTTTAAAAGAGTGGAAAAGAGAAGAGAGGTATTTATTTCACTATTTAATGCTGCAGTCCAGCATCAAAAGCGTCAGAAGAGAATGTTTATTTCAAGGGACCGTGTCAACATATACTCACTAATCTAATTACCCTGAGCACGAGACCTATGTTGGTCATATTATAGATTTATGAATACATTTGTATTTTTGTTACACCGGACGTCTAGCATTAGATAGAATGACAGAAAAAGAATGATTTTCACTGTCATTTATTCAGTAGCTGTCTTGCCATTAGACTTGTAGTGTGTATCGTTGCAGTCACGGTATTGTGCCTTTTTTGTTATTAACCTGTTACCTCAAATCCCTTCAATATATGTCACAAGTATAGAAAAACACTCTTGCCAGAAGCAGATAAAAATTCCCATAAAACTGTTAAAAGTATATAACCTTTGCCTTGAGGATTATTCACACCTAATATTCACTCGCCGATACCATTTATGGTTCACTAGAAAGTTGTTTAGCGTGAGACTAGACGGCGACTCACGTGTTATAGCCCCGATAGTGAGAATGTTCCATTCATGTCAACAGCCATGATGCGTCAACAATGTCATTACAACTCTCATAAAAGATATTTGACTTGCCATTATGTTTACTTGAATAAGCTTGTGTACGCTCACTGCCCTAAAGTTCAGTGGATTAAGTGGCATCTTAAGAAGCTTGAGAGGGAAAAGATATGTGCAGGTCTTGGCGGGAGGACAGAAGTGACTTTGGTGATGTTTGTGTGTGTTTGTACCTGTCTCTGGCAGAGAAGCAGAGATACGTAACCCCCTTTTCCCATACACACACACACACACACTCACACACAAACACCCGACACCTCAAATAGGCGAGTATACACACACACATACACACAACTCGGCGAATACACACTCACCTTGGTTCCCTTCTTCCCCATGACAGACAAACCGGTGGTGACGCTACAGATGGGAAGTAACCTGGACCCAGAGAACATCAAGGAAGCCGACGACGTATACTTCGAGTGCCACATCAACGCCAATCCAGACGTGCAGCGCGTCTTATGGTACCATAATGTGAGTCTGACGCTAGTCTTCCTACTGAATGAATATTGTTTTACGTGTGTTGGGTGAGAAGTATTTCTTTTTTTATCTTTAGTAAATTACAAGCATTGTGCACTCTGCGTATGAAATGAACTTGGGATCTGGAAAAGAAACTGTTTTTGTTTACAAATAAAATTATTCGTGATAGGTAATTAAATATTTATAGACTTTAGTTAGAATTTAAACTGAGATCATAACTTCCCACCTTGTGATAACTAAAGCTTTTACTCCTGCTTACTTATAAACTTAATTATATAAGCTGTATTCATGTTGAGTAACAGTGGTAAATTACCTTTAATGGGAAAACCTCTAGACCAACATGATCTTCATTTGTTTTATATTTGAGGGTCAATAAGCCTAGAGTATATAATGTTAATATAATCGTATCACTACCTGATAATAGCATTTCTGTTTTTCTGTTTTTTTTTTTTTTCATATTAAAATATTACTTTCAGGACTGAAACAGAGATAATAGATCTAACGTAATTCTAGATAAGCAATTGCTCTGGTAAGAAGGATCACGAAGCATCATAGCATATATAGATATATCTCAATATCGACCTCAGTCATTCTCTCCTTCTTTCCCTCCATCCATCCATCCATCCATCCATCATCCATCAGAATTAAAGCAAAGAGAAAGAGTGAGTGATCTTCAGGACAATTTCCTAGTTTCTTATGTGGTAATATTTCTTGATTAAAAAAGACGAAAATTAAAACGAAAATTCGTATTCTATTGATAGTGACTAGTTAGAACAGTATTTCCGAGTTCATTTCTACTCTGAGTGATAGTGAAAAAGATGTTTGTACCACATATTGAGAACTTAAGGAATTAAGCATACTGAGCTGCGAAAGCAGAAACTATTGCTATTGTTATGTACAAGTATTGCTGCTGTTCTTGATGTGCTCAGCAGATGACATCAGTTTTATTTTCAGTAGGTGACAATGTTGCTACTTTTTATCTAAGTGTTGAACAGAAGACACTCATTGCAACGGTTAATTAAACGTTCGTTTTAGAACTGGTAATCTAGGTGATAAGTAAATGATCAGTCGACGTCTTGAATTTCAGGTGTTGCCTAAACTTTCAATAGGTAACAGATATTTTATTGCGAATTGTTTGCGGAGCATGCAACATGTAAGGTTGTCATTAGTGAGGTAACAACAGTATAAATTTCGACGTATATTCTAATTTGCCATTTATTCTAATGTGGCTCTTACCCTAATGTGTTACGCAGGTCTTAAACCCCATTAATTCCACAAGTGGTACTAACTCTGACACTAATTCTGCCCAAGACGAAAAGAACGAGTTTATATTTGCAATTTCCCACTAAAATTACCTTGTCAGGGAATTATCTAAATGGTGAAACACAATTCAACACAAGCTTTCAAATAACGATGCCCAACAAGTACGAAGACAAAATTACAAACTGCAGAGCAAACTCTCATCGAGGCATCGTTGTCTTCTGCTGAGCTTTATCTAAAGATGGTCTGATTCTCTTCACGAAGTAAAGCGTTGCTGAAATAAAAATTTGATCTGCTGCTTGTATCCTATGATTGTACAATTCAACAAATTTGGCGTCGTGATTTATGTTGTATGGTTTGATATATTTACCGTGTTTGAACAGACTGTTGAAAAGGTGGAAATGCTTACTTAACAACATTCGTGAAATATTTTTATATATAATGTTTCGTGTAGAAGAAACAAAGACAAAAGTTCCAGAACAATTATTTACAAGGACAAAGTTTTGCTCTGTGTAGAGCTTTATCAAGCTGCGATAAACTCTGCACAGATGAAAATATCGTCTCAATAGATCCTTTTACTGCAACTTATATCTTTACTTCCACAGTTATCTGCAGTACACTCTCTTGTTCAACTAATTTTGTATTCCTGCCTCTCTCTTTGAACTTCATCCACAATACACACTAAAATAATTTTTCAGCTTATTATTTTGCCGGTTCTCGTCTTTGGCTTATAAATACCTTTTTTCATACATATATCCTCTTGCATACTATCGGATAGCAATTTTAACAGTTAAATCATAGTAATAATATTTGTGAATAGCGACTTCCATTTTAAATGAACATTTTATCGTTTTACAACTGGAGTGTATTTTATATGCGACTTGCATTCCTTGGAATGGAGCTCTGAATAGATTCTTAAATCTGCAATCGTTACCTAGATTCTTCTAGCATTATTGCACATTTTTTTAGCGATATTTACAACGTTTTCAAGCCGATACCTAATTGGAGACGACATTTGCATTGCTACATCTCCTTTCTCATATTTGTACACTTACTTCTTTGCTTCAAAAGTCCTCCAACTAAAGAAACAAAAAAACAGTAAATAGCATTCATAATTCCGTTAATGCAGATTAAGCTGATTGTAGCTAATGTGGGTGAATATCACTGGAAAGCCGAGCGTATTAACCTGCAACCGAAGGTTATGTAATTGAGTCAGCCACCAGTCAGGACAACGAAGGTTATGTAATTGAGTCAGCACCAGTCAGGACAACGAAGGTTATGTAATTGAGTCAGCCACCAGTCAGGACAACGAAGGTTATGTAATTGAGTCAGCCACCAGTCAGGACAACGAAGGTTATGTAATTGAGTCAGCCACCAGTCAGGACAACGAAGGTTGAGTAATTGAGTCAGCCACCAGTCAGGACAACGAAGGTTGAGTAATTGAGTCAGCCACCAGTCAGGACAACGAAGGTTGAGTAATTGAGTCAGCCACCAGTCAGGACAACGAAGGTTGAGTAATTGAGTCAGCCACCAGTCAGGGCAACGAAGGTTTGAGTATTGAGTCAGCCACCAGTCAGGCAACGAAGGTTGATGTAATTGAGTCAGCCACCAGTCAGGCAACGAAGGTTGAGTAATTGAGTCAGCCACCAGTCAGGGCAACGAAGGTTGAGTAATTGAGTCAGCCACCAGTCAGGGCAACGAAGGTTGAGTAATTGAGTCAGCCACCAGTCAGGGCAACGAAGGTTGAGTAATTGAGTCAGCCACCAGTCAGGGCAACGAAGGTTGAGTAATTGAGTCAGCCACCAGTCAAGACAACCACTCGAGAAACCACTACAAAAGAATCACTTTGATTAATGTAGTTTAATCACGGTCCTGGGGTTTACGTAAGTCTGCCTCAGGGCAAACACTTGACCACTTCCTGCTTTTCCACGCTCCTTGGCTTCTTCCTCACGCCACCTCTCTCATTTTCCTTCTCTTGCATTATTTCTCCTTTGTAGCATTTTTTATCCATTTCATGTGAGCTTGGTTTACCACGAGTATTTTTCTTTTTTGTCCAGAATTTCACTTTGATCTTTTTTTTTCGATCTCATCATAAATTAGTTTTTGTTTTCACTCGTCACTTCCCTCTTCACACTCTCATTGTATTTTGCTATATTAGCATAACTCATTCCCCTGTTTTTATCCATTGCTTTTTTTGCCTGCATTTCTTTTTTATTCTTGCTACCTCGACTTCTTCATTCCTCATTCCTTCCTTTCAACTAGCCATCAGTTTTCAAATGCTCCTTACTTGATTTTTAATATTTGCATTTCTTTAACCTTACTTCCCTTGATCATTCGCCCTTGCTGTTTGAATTCCTACAGCCCTTTTCATTCCCCTTACCTTCTTTAACAACAGCCACAACTCCGGAAGTCCTTTCGTACCTACCTCCATCTTCACCTCTTTCCCTCTCTCCTCCTTCCCTCTCTTCTTTTTCCTCCCTCTCTTTCTTTCTCTCCCTCTGAAAGAAATAGGACACTTCACCCACGGGTGTCGACACCTCTTGTCATCTAGTGGTCCTTGGAGACAGCTGGAACAAGAATGTCATCAAATGGTGGACATTACATTTATAGTCAACACTCTTCTTTCTGGTGTTGAATATCCTGCAGCCGAGACGTACATGACAGTAAGAGGTCGGACCTTGGCAGATAAAATTGCCCATGACAGACAAACGAAACAAATAGAAAATTAACTCTTGCTTGCGGTGTTAGAAATGCCTTGCCACCGGTTGAAGCCCCACCCGTTCCTTCAGTTGTTTACAATCGTGTGGCTACGATTCTCGAGAACTGTGAGAAAATTAGCGTTGTCAGTCAGTAATTGTTAAATTCGTACAAATAAACATATATTTCAGGACAACTGAATTCAGTTCTGGTTGAGTTATTTTTCATTTTCTGTGGTCGAATTTCATCACTTTTCATACTACCGACAGAATGTAAATCTTCAATATATTTTCAGCATAATCATACTGAATTCTTTATTAACTCCGAGGAAATGTGTGAAAGAATACGTTATATTTTTATTATTGGTCCTGAAATTTTGCACAAACACCTGTAAGACTTTTCAAATGGATACTTCTTGTCACGTTTTTCTGAACAGATTCACAGACTGTAATCTTTTTAAAAACAATTGTTTTTTGTTCCATCCTCCTTCAGTTACCTGCGAGTACATTATAATACAAACCTTTCTATAAGGAAGCAAACAATGGTAAAGAATTGTCCTGGGGCTCTTTTTACAGTGAATCATGAATGGGATGCAAGACCGGTAAGTGCTGAGGAGAATCTGTAACGTCTTTTTATAAAGTACAATGGACGTATTAGAAAGAACCCACGTGTTAGTATTGGTGTTTTTCTTTAACCTGACGACAATGAGGCTTTACAACACACCTTTTAAGAAGGTTAACACTGCAATTTTCTTCCAGGAAGGTTATCTTTCTCCCAGGAAGGTTATCTTTCTCCCAGGAAGGTTACTATAGTGATCCTCAAGGAAGGATACCATACCAGTGTTCTTCTAGGAAGATTATAATTGTGGTGCCAGTGAAGCTCTACAGCCGAAGTTGCAGAGCATATTAGTTCAGAGACTAATATGGAGTACACCTTGGGTTTCTCGAAGGATTTTAAATAATTCTTTGTTGTTTTCTACCGTTAGGACTTCCTGCCTACCCAAGAGAGATTACGAGAACACCTCGTCACCTTTGACTCTCCCTAACTGTGTTTTACCAGAGCTCTTCAAAAGCATACCTCCGAGGAAATTATATAGCCTCTATCTTTCCAGAAGATCCTCTAAGGGGCATTAACTTAGTGGGCCTCCAACACGTGTTTCCCACAGGCCCTACAGAAACACCATGCTATGAGAGCTATATACTTCTATTTTCCTCTTCGAAACCCGTGAAGCACCGAGTTTTCTTTAATCCTTGAACAAATTCTGTGGACAAGATTAACCCATGGATCTCCTAGCAGCACCTCACCTATGAGTACTTTTTCTTTCAGGGAGCTCCCGTGGAGCACCGCGTCACTCGGGGCATCATCCTGCAGAACCAGACGCTGGTGCTGCAGAAGATCACGAGGGAGGCCGCTGGACTATACACCTGCGCTGCTGTCAACCTGGAGGGCGAGGGAGAGAGTCAACCCGTCAACCTCAGAGTAATGTGTGAGTTAATTCCTGTCAGCTTTGTCAACCTTATAGTTGTGTGTTAGTTGATCACTCTCGGTTTTATAAATTTAGTTGTGTATGGGTTAATTACTGCCAGCTTTGTTAACTTCATAGTTGTGTGTGAGCTGATCTCTCAGATTTATAAACTATAATCGTAAGTAAATTGATTATTAATTGCTTCGTCAACCTCAGAGTTATATGTACGTTATTACTCTAAACTATGTCAACCTTAAAATACAAGTAAGTGATTACAAATACGTAACGTGTTTGTGTCCTACTTCTATTACTACTATTATTCTATGACTACTTCTACTACTGCTACTACTACTACTACTACTACTACTACTGCTACTACTACTACTACTACTACTACTACTACTACTACCACCTTCCCTCTTCCTAACCTGTCTTCTGGTCTCGTCTTTTTTATTCCTCGTTTGTGGTTTGATAATGTACCAGGACGGACAGAAGCGTCTTCAAAAGTTTCATACTTAAGTGTGAGTTATTCGTCAATTATTCTAGCCAAGGTAATTTGACTTTCATTCTTCAATTTATTGCTAACAAGAACTATATCTACTATGTTACTTTGCCTGAGTTAGGTCTGTGAAGAATTACTTTAGGAAGCAGAACTTAACTGCTTCAAGAACTCTTCCAACTTAACATCTCCAGGTTGATCAGTCAAGCTTATTTGACTAAATTTGAAGTCCGCTACAATTTACCCGTCGTTTCAGCGTGACGGCTTAACTATTTGTCAAAATATGCATGCATTCCATTCTTCCAAGATTTGCTACCAGCATTTCTACTTCTGTTACTTTTTTCCCTCTTTTGACTTTCTCTTATTTGTTCATTCATTTATGTTTATATCAACTAACATGTGTTCATATTCTTCTTTTGTTTCGTTCTTGTGTTTATTCTTTATCAGCTGATATTGATCGTGAAACTCAAGATTACTGCATTATTGTAAAACTGATGACTGTGCAAGTTAAATATTCTGTAAGGGAGAGACTGATGATTACGTCTCGTATATAGAGACGAGAGACCTGGAAAACGATAGCTAGATATCCACAGTGTTAAGTGAAAGACATTTAAAATTCCATCTTTTATTGAGAATTATAAACATTTTTGCAGAGCTAGTTGTTGTCACAATAAACACTTGTTCTTGGGTTACTTTGTACAGTAGCCCTGTATAATAGCTCTGAACGGTAGCGCTATTCAGTAGCCCTGTATAACAGCACTGTGCGGTAACTATATTGCTCCGTATGGTAGCAATATACTGCATAAGGAAAGAAGATCACATTGATTGATTTTTTTCATAGTGTGGCTAATGGCTTCTTGCATACCAACAATTATATACTGTGTATGTCTCTGTTGCAGCAGTTTTTGCTGTTAGTGCCGTGTCTCTGTTGTTGCTGTTTTCTGTTGTTGCTAATGTGCTCTGTGTCGGTTGCTGCTTTTTTTTCTTCTTCTATTGTGTTTATTTTTACCGTGCTGAGTCTGTTGCTACTGTTTCTCCCGCTCCTGTGCTGTGTCTGTTGCTACTGTTTCTCCCGCTCCTGTGCTGTGTCTGTTGCTACTGTTTCTCCCGTCCTGTGCTGTGTCTGTTGCTACTGTTTCTCCCGCTCCTGTGCTGTGTCTGTTGCGTTGTTTCTGCCGATCTGCTGTGCTTCTTTTGTTGATGTTTGTCTCCGCTACGCTGTATTTCTATTGCTGCTGCTGTGCCGTTATTGTTTGTGTCTTTCGTGTTGCTGTTTTTGACGATTTGTTGACTTTGTTGTTATTGTCGTTACCACTACTGTGCTAATTCCAATATTCTTCCATGTGTTCTTTGTGAGGGTCGATTTTCTAACTGGGATTTCAACGGCTTCTCAGTATCAAGGTCACGGTCATCATGCACATTACAGATAATGGATGTTAAATATCTTCCATAAGGAATTATGGGCATTAAATTTGCTTTCAGAGAGTATCGATGTTCACTGACGTCATACAAATTAGGAATTATTGACGTTAATGTCATGTAAAGTAGATATTTTTCTTTTCTTTACTCTGAAGATGGATTACCTTTACTTGGAAAAATTATTTCCTGGCTTGTACTTCGTAGAATATCTCTCTCTCTCTCTCTCTCTCTCTCTAGCACAGTAAACGGACATAGGATCCATGTGACATTAAAATGACAATAACTGCGATGAGATGATTTTAAAGGGGTAAAAAATATATATAAATTAATTTTCGTAAAGTAACTTACGGGCCATCTTGCGACCATCAAGTCAGGGAGTGCCTGGGTTAACATAAAATACGTGTATTCTCTCTCTCTCTCTCTCTCTCTCTCTCTCTCTCTCTCTTTTCTGAAGGTCCTCAGTATTTAATAGCTGATGTATCTTATGACCAGGATAGTAAGCCATTATGTTTCTTTTATATGAGAGAAAATCTGCTAGTATAGTAAAATAATTAAGAAATGGAATCGTAGAAATCCGAGTCACAACTGAAAAATGTTTCTTCTGGCTGACTTCAAGTTTTGATCACTGTTGTGGTTTCCTGAGCGCTATGCTTTTAAGTGGCATAATTTCCAGTTTCCATATTTCAATGAATAAATAGTTATATTCATTTACTTTCAGTATCTAAAGAATGCTTAATCTGATAGGCTTCAAAATATTAATGATGATGCGCTCTGTAAGAGGGATGATGCCCCATAAGTTTAGCCTGAGATGATGCAAAATTTTAAATTTTACACAAATTGTTAAATAATTTATAAGGAAAGATTTATATTAAAGATGAAGAAAAGAGGGAATGAGCATAAGAATGTGACTTCGCAGAAACAGTGTAACAAGGAGAAGAGCCAGAAACAAATGCACATAATAAGGAGAAAAACTAAAATTAAATTTGAAAATTATATATTATGAAAGGCCGGACCCGAACCAAAGTCAATCCATAGCCAGATGAAAAATAAGAGAACTGCGAAGGAAAAAGGATGGGATGCTGATGGTGAATGACAGAAGCAAGTGAAGAACTTACAAAAGATTCAAAGTGGTTTTTACAGAAGTGAGTTGGGAGTTACTCAATAGATCGGAAGTCAATCATTTTGAGCAAAGTAGTCTACGAGGTGGAATCATGAGCTGAGTCTCGACCACTTCCAGCACAACTAAGCAAGTACAATTCAGTGAGTACAAACACACACACACGCACGCGCACACACACACACACACACACACACACACACACACACACACACACACACACACACACACACACACGCACACACACACACACACACGGTATCACACAGGCAGCTCCCGTGGCTCCGTTTAAAGGCTGATGTGGACATTTTAACGACGCAATTTCCCATTAAGGCATCGTGTACACGGGACGTAAAGCATCGCCGTGTGCGCAATGGCCTCTGCACGCCGGCCCAAGTCAAGAAGAGAGAGAGAGAGAGGAGAGAGAGAGAGAGAGAGAGAGAGAGAGAGAGAGAGAGAGAGAATGGTTCTAACCTCATCCTATTCCCTATTTGTATGTCTTATAACAAATAAGCTTTCAAATTACCTGAGGTAGGTAACAGCTTTTAGCTTGCAAATATAGGTAGGAATTCAAAATCTAACACTGGATAACTATTGAATAAATAAGAGAGAGAGAGAAACACACACACACACAGAGTATGAATGCATGTGTAGGTTTGAGAGTGCCATAAAAGTGTTTGAGGTTCTCGTGTCAACAAACTGGTTAACTGAGCGCGTGAAAATCCTTCAGGTAAATTAGTGTCCACTGGAAAACAAAAAAAAAAGAGCAGGGGGAAATTAGCGACAAAGAGATAGAAGGCAAGAGAGACAAAAGAAAGAGAAGCTGATAAGGATGAAGAGGCACTGCAGTGACTTATGGATGTAGTAGATTTAAACAGCACTGTCTCTTCACAGAAAAATTACTTTATGGCAGTGAGGTGACAAGCACCAAGCATATTTGCATTTGCATTAATGATTTGTATCAGGTTGGGTTTGTTAATTTGTTTTAAAGCTAGTCGATCTTACGAGGGTCGTCAAGATTCCTTTTAACCCATAAACCACCGGTGAAGGATGGTTTAATCCCACAGAGAGGGATCAATGTAAATTTTCACTGATATAAACACACTTCTCAGTACGTAAAACTTGGTAGCATTAGATTGGTTAATGGGGATTCAATCCCATCGACTACTCGAGCGTGATTAAAGGCTGAATATAACTTGTTGGCATCCAGTCAAAAAGACTTTAATCCCTAAAACAGGGATTAAAGTAAACTCTCATGGTATATATACGAAGAGATGTTTACATTACACCTCTCTGTGTATACATCCTGTGTCGCATTAACCTGACTCACTTTATATCAGAGTGTCGCACCATATCACATTGTGTGCCGATCAACTGTTCGGCATAACGATGTCTGTTCTTTCAACTCTTGTTCGGAATAACAGTTATGATGTTCCGACGCTTAGTCGAAATCACAATATCGATGTTTCGAACACCTGTTAGGGATAAATATATCATTTTTCAGTTATGCTATGTACTCACTCAAACAGTTCTTACTTTCAATTGATGATGATGATGATGATGATGATGATGATGATGATGATGATGATGATGATGATGATGATGATGATGATGATGATGATGATGATGATGATGATGATGATAAATATATAACCAAGATACCAGAGTGGGGTAGATATTTCAAACCAGTTCGGATCTAGTTTCATGCTCACCAGAATAGAAAGAAGCATTCATACTCTCTGTTGCATACTGTACGTGTATTTGTTCGTCTTGTAGTTGAGTTAGAGAGTGAGGCTTGTTAAAGGGGTAGTGTCCGGTCCCTGAACACAGGACCAACCTGTGCTGTTTCACTGGATTTTACTCAGAAAGGGAAATATGAGTTAATGCACATATGTGTGGTTTGAAAAAGCAAGTGTTTTGAGATATGTCCTTATAATCTATAGGGCATATAAATTATAAGGACACATAATTTATATGTCCTATTAA